GCAAAGCCAATGTGGTGGTAGATGCCCTAAGCCGGAAAGAATACTCGGGTCATCGAGTAAGAATGCTAACGTGCACCAAGCCAAAGAGTCATGCTTTAGTTTAATGCATTGGTTGAGAAGAAGAAGTTGGATGATGTAAAAACAAATATCAATATCTTAAAATACACTAATATGTTCACAAGGATGTTCTATAAGGATCCAATCATGAAAGTAACGTACACCAAGCCAAAGAGTAAAAAGATTCTTACTGTGCATCTCACTAGAAAATATGACAAGGGTGAATACCCTTCGAAGGCACTGTGTCCTGATCTTGTTAAGAACAGATACAACAGATGGCTTGAAATTGCTAACATCATTAAGGGACATCAGGGAATCCATTCTCAAGAGTTATATTTGGCCTTGAATTTAATGATGAATAAGGTTTGGAATCTAAACCTTGTTCTTACTGATACCTCAACCTCATATTCTACCTCTAATCATCCACCCACCACTCTATCAAGAATTATATAAAGAAGAGCTAAGTATTCATCTTTTTTCATGCCTTATGGTTATCTTCTTATTATCAACACCTTGCCACCATGGGTTGATCTTGAGGAACATCTTTTTATCTGAACTATAGTTCATGGAATTTTCTATAGAGATTGTGACATCCCCATTTTCATGGCCAGAAAAGACCGATTTTGTTTATGCTTTTAAAATAAAATCAGAGTAATCTTTCAAAAAGTATTGCGGAATTTGTCCCCAAAACAAAATATGATAAAAATATTTATCAAAGCATTTCTTTAAGAAATGTATTTTCATTTCATTACAAAACTCGGGATGTCCACATGATACAGACCAAAAGCATAAACTGTACAATATAGGCCTTAGAACAATTATTTACATCTACTGGCCTATAATCCAAAATCTCTCACCATCTTCCAACTATGCTCTTGTTCTACTACCTGTAATACAGAAAGTTGAGTGGGCCAGGCTTGGAAGTCTGCTGAGCATATAGGCTGTTCCACCAACAATAAATAAATTTACTAATTTCATCAACTAACAATAAATTTATTAATTTCATCAACCAACAATAACCCTGATTACCCATTCTCGTTATCCTCACTTTATGTCCCTAAACACCTATCAAAAGGGACCTAGCCTAAGGATCATCATCGGGATGGACTTTACTGCTAAGGGGATTCCTCAACCATATATGTCCGTAAGGCAACCACGAGGGGGATAGAGTACACCGGTGAACACATCATTCACAAACACCTACAGGTTGCGAGCCTGCCAATGTTGCACTGGACTATCTAGAAAGGTCCGTGGTCGTCTTCTATACTCCGTTAGATGACTGGAACAACAACAACATCGAGTCCTCTCATCATTTTAAAACACATCAACTATTTATACCCAACATATTTGTGAATAAAAATACATATACAGTTTAAATCATTCTAAACATGTGTAAAAACTTCATTCAAAAGCCATCTCAAATAAACAAACAATATTTGTACAATTAGCATGTATTTTATAAAAATACTTCATATCTATGTGTAAGATGAAAGTGACTACACACTCACTTGATTTGATGATGATTGGAGAACACTTCGTCCCTTAAAACAATATTTTTCGATGAAACCGGGATGTTTTCAAAAAAACCGGGCTTCACGGGGGTAGAGTTTTCGACTTGAAAAACACTTTTTTCTCGGGGTCTTCGGGCTCTCTGGAGCTTTCTTACGATGCTAGTATGGTATTCTAGGCTTGGGGGTAGTTAGTGTAGGTTAAAAGAAAGTAGAAGGTGAAAATGGGTAAAATTTGTAAACAATTTCGGGGCAGCCTCGCACCCCTTTTATAGGAGGCAGAAGCTCCTTATTACGCTAGGCGTAATATCATGGTACGCAGGGCGTACTACTTCACCAGCCACTACACTGGGCGTACATCGATTACGCTGAGCATAGGAATGGATCATCTTGGACACATAAAAGCTACGAACACGTGTGCACCATGCAAAGGAGTAGGCGAAGTGGCTAACTTCGGACCGTGTACACATACGTATTCTTGGCGTACATACCTCGTACGCTGGGCGTTCTTCCAGCCTTGAAGTTCGTGCCTGAAACTTCAAAAATTCATATCTTTCTCATACGAGATCCATTTTTTACGTTCTTTATATCCACACGTAGGTGAAATTATACTCTACAACTTTTGTTTAGACTCCGTCGACTATTTGTGACTTTATTTTTAAAGTTATATTTTAACAGGCCAGAACAATAAAAGTCCGTTAAAAATTCATAACTTCTTCATCCGACGTCCGTTTCTGTCTGTCTTTTACCATTAAACTACAATAGACAAGATCTTCGATTCTCGTTTAGGTTGTATCGGCTAAAAACTGCTCGATCTTTAATTCGAATTCCAGGCTGCATACTGCTTATGCCAAATCTTAGAAAATTCATAACTTTCTCATACAAAGTCAGATTTGGACATTGTTTTTATGCACGCTCTCGATTTAACGTATACTACGACTTTCATTTAGATCGCTAAGGCTAAAAAGCAATTTATCTTAAACTCGCTTTTTACATCACACAGCGTCGTGTTGGTTCAGTCGTGAAACTTCGACGGGTCATAACTTCTTCGTTATAACTCGGATTTCGGTATTCTTTATATCTCTAGAATCCTTGTTTCAACCACTACAACTTTCTTCATAGATATTGGGTTTATCTAACATTTATTTTAGATGCTTATTTTTATCCTTAATTTATTAAATCATAGTAATTAAGTATAAAACACATAATACTCAAATAATACATCTTTATTACTTCAAATCAAGTTACAAAGGTTGACCTAGACTATTACATCATCATTAATGCCTAGCCTAGAAACACGGGCGTTACAATTCTCTCCCCCATAGGATGATTCCGTCCCCGGAATCATACATCAGCAAACAAATGCGGATAGTGACTCATCATGTCAGTTTCTGTTTCCCAGGTGATATTTGTCCCATTTGTATGTTTCCATCGCACAAGCACTAAATCGACCATCTTGCGTCACAACTTCTTAGTCTTACAATCATTAATTGCCTCCGGTTCTTCAATTAAACTCTTGTTTTGGTCCAACCTTCATTCAGAAATTGGAATTATGTCGGGAACTTCTCCCATGAACTTCCTCAAATAACACATGTGGAAAGTGTTATCAATACCATCTAGTTCTTCTGGTAGTTCTAGCTTGTAAGCATGGTTCCCAATCCTCTGAAGAACTTTAAATGGTCCAATAAACCTTGGACTCAACTTTCCCTTTTACCAAATCTTCTAAGTCCCTTCCACGATGAGACATTAAGTAAAACCGAATCTCTAACTTCGAATATTATCGATTGTCTTTTCTTGTTAAGATAGCTCTTTTGACAATCCTGAGCTTCTAACATCCTTTCCCTAATCACTTTCAGCTTTTCAGTAGTTTGATGAACTATCTAGGGTCCCATAAACTGCTTTTCTCCTACTTCAAGCCAACATGACAGCGTTCAACACTTTTGTCCATACAAAGCTTGATAAAGTGCCATCATGATGCTTTAGTGGAAACTATTATTGTAGGGAAATTCTACCAGAGGTAAATGTTCATCCCAATTACCTTGGAATTCCAGGGTACATGCTCTCAGCATATCCTCCAATTTTTGAATCATTCGTTCGCTCTGACCATTGGTTTGCAGATGGTCAGATGTACTTAGACACAATTTCGCACCCAATTCCTCTTGTAGACTTCTCCAAAACCTTGATGTGAAACGACTATCACGATATGATATGTCACACCCCCAAACCAAAATGGCGGAATCGTTCGAGGGCGAATGACTTCATGCAGTATCGCAACAATTGAATACATAGTAAAGAAAGCAATACAACCATCACATATATATAATTTAAAAGTTTACATTGTTGAAAAGTACTTGTTTCAAAAGAAATTATAATATGATGTTCAAAATGAAATTGAACTAACACCGCAACATCCCTTCTTCAAAAGCTACAGTTTACCTGTATTACTAAATCCCTAAGAAATACAAGTGGTTTTGAAAGAGTTGGTCAGCATTTAAGCTGGTGAGTTCATAAGTATTTAGTGACAATGTATATATGAAAAAGAATGAAAATGGTTTGTTCATGTTAAATGTTCCTAGAAAATCCTATATTTTCTACTATAGTAGATGGTAGTTTGATTGTTCCAAAACTGTAATGCAATAGTGCTTTTCATGCCTAAAATAGTAGTTTTATGTGTAAATCGTTAAGGCATTTGAAAAACCCTATAAATCAATGTTTTTTTTTAATAATCCATGTGAGTCTTATAACCATGCTAATTGACCAGGATGCCTACATCAACGTTCTTCAGGCATTGGAAAGTTATGATGTTTGTCACCCCAGGCATGCCGGCCTAGCTGTAGCTAACATCTTAGGTGTGGGATTGTCAATCCCGTATAGATCTATACACAAGTATCACGCCCCCACCCCCTACAAGGTATTATGGTATATAATACATGACTTAAAATGCATACTCGAAAGTACATGAGATGTCTCACAAAATTTAGTATAAAACAGATTTACGTATGAAAATGTTCATTTGTTCTAGTATATGAAAATATCTCTTTGATATAGTATTCCTCATTGTAAATGTTCATGATTTTCTCATAAACTATACCTATTATAGTTTTTCAAAGTGTTTTTTGTTCATATAGTAAACCCTAGTGAAATGCTCACTCGTTATGTAAAGTATAACACGTAAAGTGACATAACTGATCACATATACTTAATGTAAAAATGGAGTATTTGATTCATATATATATATATATATATATATATATATATATATATATATATATATATATATATATATATATAAACACGTTTTATTTCCACAAGACAAGGTGTTATCGAAAATATATATTTCATACGAGAATACTCATGTAGTAGTTTATGAATCACATATGGTTACTTGAATAAAAAGTTTATATAGTGAAACTTTAGGTTACACACAATAATAACCGCGTGTTTTACTTGCATTCCCCCCCCCCCCTAATATTGTCTAAAAAGCATTTATCAAACATTTAAAAGCGTAGTTTATAGGGGTATGAACTCACTTGAAAGATCGAAGAAGGCGAGACGAAAACCGAGCAGAACTTTGACTTGAGAAAGCGGATTTTCTCGGGATTCTCAGGAATCTCGGGAGCGGAAACTACCTTCGGGGCTTGAGTATGGAAACCGGGGCTTCAGGATATCACATGCATGAAAAACGAGGCAAAAACACAAGAAAGATGAGAGAAAATGAGCAATTTCCCTGGAACCCTCGCATCCCTTTTATAGGGGCTGGGAACCGCCTCGGTACGCTGGGCGTATGCATGTGTCTTATATGACCGCATCCTCGATTGCCTCGGATGGGACTGGGCATAGCTTCGCATAGGGGCGACATGGACGTTCCGAGGCCTAGTACTCGAGTATGCTGGGCGTACGCTGTTACACCAGGCGTAACTTCGATTGGCCTTGTGACTCCCCCTC